CCTAGTATTTGGAAAGTATAAAAAGGGAGGGGGGGGGGGGAAGAAATCAGATTTCTTCTCCATAAATTTGCAGGGTTTTCAACGTTGGATAGAAAGAGAGGAAAATATAGAGAAATCCAATCTTCTCTCTACGATCTACGGCCCTACGGTGCTCGAATCAACACGAGTCAAGAATCAAAGTTATTCTACTCATTGAGGGCTACGCCTATGTACCAAAAAGGGCAAATTTCACTGAAATTTTGAGACATGATTTTAGAAAAATCAAGGTTTGAGCTTGGGGGTGTATTCTTGGAGCTTCCCAACGTTCTTTTACGCTTCAAGAGGTAGGATTTTCTCCCTGATTAGGTTTATTTCCAACCTAAGGTGTTTATATGAGATGGGTAGGTTGAAAAAATTATATACCACTCGCCTATTATTGTAAAGTGATGGAATTAGGTATTGAAAATGGGTAAATTTAATTTTAGTGTGAATTGGTGATTAGAAATTCTTAAGTATGTAATTTCTTGGTAAAATGTGATTTATGGGCATGTTATGTGTTTACATTATGCCTTGATGAATTTAATGTGTTAATTACGTGATTATGTGATGACATGCTTGAAAATTGTGTTGAATGGAATGTTGATATATGCTTATGATATATTGACAATTGATGGATTTTGCAAATTATATGCTTAGGATGTAATTATTCATGGTATTTGTTAAAATTGTTCATATGACATTTATTACACATTGAATATGGTAATAGTCTTGTAATGGTGCATTACATTGCATTTGTACGAGAACATCACATTCATGGACATCGACATGGGTGTGAGTGTGTGTTTGCATGTGTTGGATCAAACACCATCTTTGGTGGGTGATAAGTGGGATCGGTACCATTGGATCAAGGTTCACCAGAGTTGCATGATTGCATGAAAAAGAAAACATGTGTCGAGTATAGCAAGAAAGGCTAGACATTTCTTCGGGTGCAAGACCCGACTATTGGTTTATACACTTTCGTCGGTGCAAGTCCAAAAAAGTGTATCGATGTGCAAAATCGGCGGTGAGGCATCAAAACTCTGCTATCCAACAAAGACACATAATTTTATTTTATAAAGATATAGTCATTGAATTTGTAACATCAATGACAAATTTATTACACATTGGTATTGTGTTGTGTTGTGGGAGTCGATGAAGGCTCGGGTTGAGTTGCATGAGTGAGTCTCATTTTATTTCATGGCATGACATAGTAAATTCCAATGTTGAGTTGCATATTCTTGATTGAAATTGTTGTGGATGGTTGATCGTTGCATGTGAATATTTCATATATATCCAGGTCGGCGAGTAGTCTCTTTAGGAGATATCCTATTGAGTGTGACTCACCCTTTATGGGAAAATATTTCAGGTGCGGGGTTCACTTAGACGAACGGCTCCCAATTTGAACCTCAAGGGTGAAGAAAGCCGACTTATGGCTTTTTTGACTCATTTCGTATAACTTTTGTAAAAATCCCATTTTGGCAGTAAATATAAAAGAATTGTAATCGAACTCATGAATGGACCCGATGTGACCAATGTTTACTCATGAATGAATCTTGTGTGGTCAATGTTTACCTATAAATAGACCCAGTATAGCCAATACTGTATGATTGCACATGTTGTGTTTTGAGTAGAGCTCCCCATACAAATGAGACTTTGGTCAAATTTTGCTAAATTATGGACCCTAAGAAATGAGGCATAACGACGTAATATCGAGTTATATAGTATCCACGGGTATTCCGCGAGTTGATGGGTGATCAACTGTTGATAAAGGACCCCGTTTTTTTTTGGGGCGTCACACAAACAACCACTAAAAGACAATTGATCTACTAAGCAGAGTGGCCAAAATAGGGTGGCTGATTTTGAAGTATAGAAATGGAGCAATGTTCAAAAAAATAGACCCAAATCCTACTCCAGTCATCATCAAAGCTTAGAAAAGCATGTAGTGATATCTTCATGGAGCTGGGATCGACTCAGGAGCAATGACATTATAGACAAAGAGGGGAAGAGGTATTAGCGTGGTCTCTTTCTACTACAAATATGCTTGAAATTAATGGTGATGGGGCTTATAATCAATCTAAGCAAATAGGGATTGTCAGTAGGAATCATAGAGAAAGAGTGATAGAGGGCCAAACTAAAACTATTAAAGTAGTGTCTAGTCTTTTCTCAGAAGTATCTGCAATACGTAAAGCCTGTCTGATGGCCTCTACAATGCAATTAAGAGAGACAGTACTGGAAAGTGACAACCTGGAGGTGATCTTGCTGAGTTCAGTTGAAATATTGCTTCAATGGGAAATAATTGTTGTTGTTGATTAGGGCTGGTAGTCGAATTAGTCGATCAAGTTTGAGCTGAGTTTAAGTCGATCTTGAAAAGTTTGTTTCTTAATCGAGTTTAAAAAATTGTTTAAATTTGGTTCGTTTAGGAAACGAGCCGAGTCTGAACGAACCAAAAACAAGCCGAGCTCGAGTATTTGCAAATAAACGAGTTAAGTTTGTTGAGTTTGAGCTGAACTTATAGGGTTTATTTTTTAAACGAGCCTAAAAACTTGTTCAAGTTCGGGTTTGTTTAGAAAACGAACTGAGCCTAAACAAGTCGAACCTGAGCCGAATTTAAGCTAAGTTCGAATAACTCAATTTAATTAACAGTCCTATTATTGATGATATCGGAGCTATTGCAAAAAGCCTGAATCTGATTTTTAAACATATCCCTAGATCCTGTAACAGGATTGCCCACTGGTTGGCAGCAAATCATATGAAAGTAGTTCTCTCTGGTAGTTGGGTTAGTTGCCCATCTAGTGGGCTAAGTTTTCTTCTACTATCTGATTGTAATTATGGTTAGGTTACTTGATTAATACAATACATTTTCGATTTCAAAAAAAAAGAAAAAAAGAAAAAGAAAAAAAAAAGGAGGATTAAATAAGAAACTCTTTTTAGGATTCTCTAAAATATTTCTCCAACAGGTCTCAAAATTAAGGAACTCATGCTAAGGTTGTTTGAAATTTTCAAGAAAATGGGATGTGACAAAAATTTCACTGAATGTAAGGTATTTGTGTATTAAAATAACTCATTTTTTTTAGTATTTGCATAAACAATAGGTAAGACTGAAAAAATAAAGGTAATAAAAAAATATTCATTTAGTTGTATCATATCAGAATTGATTCAATCTAAACCCATTACATTTATAATTTTGTATAATCGAATTTGTATTATATATAAATCGTGGTTAACAAGTTTATTTCGTATTTAAGTGGATTTATATTGACTTGTTTATTTAAAAGATTTATCAAGTACATTTGTTTTATCCTATCTTCTAAGGTAACCAAAACTCATTATTTTTGTATCGATTTCTTATTGAGTTCGCACGTATGTACCTAAAATTGCCTTAAAATCAAAGTTCCTATTTTTTTAAATGATTCTAAATTTTTTTATGGGTACCAATTATTTGTATTAATGGAGGCCCTAACGTATGCCTAGAGCCGACGCTGCTCTATTTGCTATGAACTTCTCCCTCGTTTTCATCGATTGGTCGTCCACTAGTAAGTGTCATGGCTAATCAATCGTTGATGATGATAAATATGTATTTGTGTGATACATGTCCATTCAAATTTATATAAATTTATGTTTTCTAATTTGTATTTTTTCGGTGAATGCGTTTATTTAATTTCTATGGTATGTGTGTGTATTTCCTACCTAGCTAGATTTTTTTTTTTTTTAACCTTGTCCACTAAAGACCCGTTTGATAACATTTCCGTTTTTTGTTTTGATNAACTGTTAGTTTTAGGTTAATATTGATATAAATTTTTATCTTTGAGGGTACAAATTAAAAATTTTAATTTTTATAAAATTTTTTGGAGTATAATTTATGATTAACGCGATTAACCCAAACAATTATTAGGCACCCATATACATAGCAATAAATCAGATGCCCCAAACCCTAACCTCCCGCCTTCGTAGCAAGACCCCCGTTCCTCTCTCTCTCTGAAGCTCTCCGGTCACTCAGCTTAACAAAGAGAGAAGCAGCTGCTCCAGTCATCGTCTTCCTCGTTGAAGGGCTCTCCATCAAGGTAAATAACCTGATCAATCTTCGTCTTCCTCTGGTTTNGACTGTTAGTTTTAGGTTGATATTGATACAAATTTCTATCTTTGAGGGTACAAATTAAAAATTTTAATTTTTATAAAATTTTTCGGAGTATAATTTATGATTAACGCGATTAACCCAAACAATTATTAGGCACCCATATACNTGAATTTTAATTTATATTATTAAAAATTTTAATTTATATTCTCAAAGATAAAAATTTGTATCAATACGCTCCTCAAACTAACCATCGTCAGTTTACCGTCTAAAACTAAATAGATAAATTATACTTAAATCTCCCTAGACTTGTCACTTAATCACTTAAATCTCTCATATTTAAAATATTACACTTACATTCCTTTTGAATCCAAATATGAGAAAAAATATTCTCTCAATTAGGCATCTAAATAATTTTGTTTAAATGATGTATTGCGTTGAATCTAAAAAATATTATATAAATAATTGCATTATATTGGACATATAAATGATAAATTTAATTTTGAACTTTAGAGTATGACAGACCGACAAATTAAATGGTAATATAAAAATTATAATTTTTTATTAGAATAAAATCATATTTTTTAACGTTTATATTAACAGATGTAAACGACAAAAGAGTTATATGTTATACGTGCACAAACGTCAAAAGGTGTAGGAGTAATATTCTAATTGTGAGGAGTTCAAATGATTAAATGAGAAGTATGAGAGGATCTAGATATAGTTTATCTATTTAGTTTTAGAGGTAAATTGACAACTGTTAGTTTTAGGTTGATATTGATACAAATTTCTATCTTTGAGGGTACAAATTAAAAATTTTAATTTTTATAAAATTTTTCGGAGTATAATTTATGATTAACGCGATTAACCCAAACAATTATTAGGCACCCATATACATAGCAATAAATCAGATGCCCCAAACCCTAACCTCCCGCCTTCGTAGCAAGACCCCCGTTCCTCTCTCTCTCTGAAGCTCTCCGGTCACTCAGCTTAACAAAGAGAGAAGCAGCTGCTCCAGTCATCGTCTTCCTCGTTGAAGGGCTCTCCATCAAGGTAAATAACCTGATCAATCTTCGTCTTCCTCTGGTTTTTTATCTCCAGTTGTTCAGATCTATTTTTTTGTCAAAATTTGATTATATGATGCGCCTTTTTTGGAGTTATTGCCTTTTGGGTAAGGATGTTCCCAACTTACAATGTTGTTGAGAATTTTTTTGGTTCTATTGTTGAGGTGAGTTTGATTAGAGTGAAAAACTATATAGTAGGGGCAAAAGGTAGTATCTACAAGTCTTTTTGGCAGAGTGTCTACTTGTGTGTTCATTGAGAAGAGGGTTTCACATTGTAAAAATGATTCAGCAATTCTTTGTATCAGTGTTTATATTTTTAGCTTTTCATTATAGTTAATGAATCTTGCAGTTTAATTTTCCTTGAAGTAGCAGCCAATGTCGTTAAGAATTAAGACTCCGAAAACAGGAAGAGCCAAGCGAGAGNCCACAACTTACAATGTTGTTGAGAATTTTTTTGGTTCTATTGTTGAGGTGAGTTTGATTAGAGTGAAAAACTATATAGTAGGGGGAAAAGGTAGTATCTACAAGTCTTTTTGGCAGAGTGTCTACTTGTGTGTTCATTGAGAAGAGGGTTTCACATTGTAAAAATGATTCAGCAATTCTTTGTATCAGTGTTTATATTTTTAGCTTTTCATTATAGTTAATGAATCTTGCAGTTTAATTTTCCTTGAAGTAGCAGCCAATGTCGTTAAGAATTAAGACTCCGAAAACAGGAAGAGCCAAGCGAGAGGTCTTTAAAAGAGCCCCGAAGCTTGTAAGTTTTTCATTATTTCTTTGAAGTTATTGAGGCCAGCTTCACATTTGTTTACTCACGAAAATGAGAAATCAATCAGGTTCTTTTTTTTTTGATAAGATTTAAAACTTTCATTCATTAAATAAAGGTTCACATAATGGGTGGACAAGAAATCCAACCAAAAGTGATCAAAAACAGGGGAGTTACATCAATATAAAAACAAACGTGATGTAAGAAATCAGGTTCATTGGAATGCAATCTTTTTTCTTCTAATCATTGCAAATGCTTTCAGGTTGAAACTGGGAAGAAAACCCTGATATGTCATGGTACGAAATCTAGCAATGTACTAAATGCTGTATTGACGGAAATTTATCATCTCAAGAAGGATAATGCTGTCAAATATACCAGGAAGAATGATAAAATCAGACCATTTGAGAGTGGTGGTGAAACTTCATTAGAGTTCTACTCTTTGAAAACTGATTGTAGCATTTTTGTGGTAAGCTGAAAACTGCAGCATATTTCTATTCTTATTTTTTTGGTGGCTTTTCTTAGCCATTTTTACAATAACCTAACATGTATGTTTGGAGAAGTTATGAGTATTAAGCAGAACTTGTTTTGTTGTTTGTAACATGTAATAATCAGTGATCTGGATTGCATGCATCACATCATCTCCTTAGTCTGCATAAGAGTTCCATTTTTTGAGATATTTGAAGTGTCTTAGTCTATTCTTATTCTTTATTGTTTTAATTTTCTAATCACTTGATAACACATTTTTAGTCATTGTACCTTCAAAGGAGGGCTGATAATCGAGTTGTGTTTGTCGAGTTTGTTTTTCTAAACGAGCCCGAGCCCAAAACAAGCCTAAAAAATTGTTCGACCTCAGCTTATTTCGAGTTGAACCCTAATACTAGTTGAATCCGAACCGAGCCTGAATAGCTGNTTTGTTTTTCTAAACGAGCCCGAGCCCAAAACAAGCCTAAAAAATTGTTCGAGCTCGGCTTATTTCGAGTTGAACCCTAATACTAGTTGAATCCGAACCGAGCCTGAATAGCTGGACTCAATTATCGGCCCTACTTGGAAGTGATATTTATGACCAATATTAACTAGGGCTGTTAATTATTCTGGTTGAATGACATAATGAGAATTTTTTTTGAGAAAAAAATAATTTCCAACGGCTTCCGACTAATGAGCTAACAGTCTGTGCACTTGTTACTTTATCTTTGTTACTTTATCCTGAATCATTTTGTGTTTCTGCACATGCTACTTTATCTTTGTTGGTGTCTTCTTTGACGATTGAGGAATAAAAAACTTTCCGGATCCAATAATGAGTTTTTGGCCTTCACCATGTGGAAGACCCAGTTATTTGAGATGCAAAAGACTTCTAATCATGCCATGCCTTGTGTGATTTCCCCTTGGTTGAACTTTTTAGTACACTTAAGCACTTCAGAACAACTTAGATTTTAATTTTGACACTTTGAGTAAGAAAAGTAGAGTACAGATTTTCCTTGGTTGAAATTTTTAGTGCATTTAAGGCACTTTAGAACAACTAAGATTTTCATTCTGACATTCTGAGTAAGATAAGTAAAATAAAAATTTTCATTGGTGTTCTTTGCTTCAAGTATATTTCATATTGTCTTTCAGCAAAGACAGTTAAGACTAGTACATCATAATAGAAGAGTAATTATGTTTTAGTTTTGAAATATCCACGGATATATGTTGAGGTGAGGACGAATTGTGTCCTTTGCTCAGGCAATTCTTTGGGTTCTCTGAAACGTCTGTATATAGTTGGTCAACTGCTTCTCTTTTAGATAGTAGCTGATGTAACTATTCTACCTGGGTATTGTGGTAACAACCTTTTATCTGACAGAAAATTCTTAGGTTTGAATTATGAGGTTGATGGCTCTCTTTGGCGTTGGTGTAATTGCCTTTTTTTGGTGTTGAATGTACAATCCCCCCCCTTTCTCCCCTTCTGTCTTTCCCACCCCAGAGAGTCGGGGAGAGCATTCTTCCAATGAAAGAGCTACCAGACAACTCAAGTTATGAGGCATTTTACAATTAACAAAGTAACTCCCTCATAAAAATGGTGGGAAAATGGAATGGAAAAATTCAAGTTCACCTTTAGTTTCTGCTCAAGTGTTGTTTCCTTGCATTGTTGATTCATATTCGACCTTGAAATGCAACTGTCACCTGACTCTCCCACATAGAGGAGAATAGATTGGCATTTCATTTTTTCCTCTACTTCTGATTTTAAAAGTGTGACATCTATTCCCCTTTGTTCCAATGGTCGGTGTTTGCAGTTTGGTTCTCACTCAAAGAAGCGGCCTGACAATCTTGTCATAGGGCGAACTTATGACCACCACATTTACGACCTTGTAGAGGTTGGAGTTGAAAATTTCAAAAGCATGAAGTCATTCTCATATGACAAGAAACTAGCTCCTATGATTGGTTCAAAACCTTTCTTTGCTTTTATTGGAGAAGGATTTGATAATATTGTAGAGTTGAAGCATTTGAAGGAGGTCCTGCTCGATCTGTTCCGGGGAGAGGTGTGTCTTTTGTATGTCCTTTGGTCTCTTACTGTTGCCTTTGTCGTTTAATTCTTGTTCTCTAAAGTTGTCAACTACTATAAGAAGCATGGATCTCTCTGATGTAGGCTGTGACAAACTTGAACCTTGCTGGGTTAGATCGTGTCTATGTGTGTACAGCTGTGTCTTCAAATAAAGTGTTCTTTACTCATTGCGCACTGCGGCTTAAAAGGTCAGGCACCATAGTCCCGAGGATGGAATTGGTTGAAGTTGGCCCTTCCATGGATTTGGTAGTTCGACGACATCGTCTTCCCGATGAAAGTCTAAAGAAAGAATCTATGAGAACAGCTCCTGAACTAGCAAAGAAGAAGGTTTGACATTCTAAATTTTTCTTTTGCTGTCTGGTGTTGTCTAATGATCATATGTTCTCGTTGCTGATTCCTGTTTGTTTTTTTTCAGGAGAAAAATGTTAGCCGAGATGCAATACAGGGAAAAATTGGGAAAATTTATGTTCCAGATCAAAAGGTAAGAGGGAATGGATATTTTTACATAAGAAAAAATGGATATTTTTTAATGGTGATTGCATCACCAGGTGAAGAATTACTATTCAAGTGGTGGTTTGTGCTCAACCCAAGTTCACGCCATTTGTGACTGCCTCCCCCCCCCCTTCTTTTCCAAAAAACCTAGAGCAAAATTTTCCTGCTGTTCGAGCATCTCTTGTGCTCTCTATTTTACGAGAGCATCTTTGAGAAAAAAATTAAAATAGAGTGATAGTTTTTTATACAACTCTAAAATAGAGCCCTATATTCNTTTCTCCCCTTCTGTCTTTCCCACCCCAGAGAGTCGGGGAGAGCATTCTCCCAATGAAAGAGCTACCAGACAACTCAAGTTATGAGGCATTTTACAATTAACAAAGTAACTCCCTCATAAAAATGGTGGGAAAATGGAATGGAAAAATTCAAGTTCACCTTTAGTTTCTGCTCAAGTGTTGTTTCCTTGCATTGTTGATTCATATTCGACCTTGAAATGCAACTGTCACCTGACTCTCCCACATAGAGGAGAATAGATTGGCATTTCATTTTTTCCTCTACTTCTGATTTTAAAAGTGTGACATCTATTCCCCTTTGTTCCAATGGTCGGTGTTTGCAGTTTGGTTCTCACTCAAAGAAGCGGCCTGACAATCTTGTCATAGGGCGAACTTATGACCACCACATTTACGACCTTGTAGAGGTTGGAGTTGAAAATTTCAAAAGCATGAAGTCATTCTCATATGACAAGAAACTAGCTCCTATGATTGGTTCAAAACCTTTCTTTGCTTTTATTGGAGAAGGATTTGATAATATTGTAGAGTTGAAGCATTTGAAGGAGGTCCTGCTCGATCTGTTCCGGGGAGAGGTGTGTCTTTTGTATGTCCTTTGGTCTCTTACTGTTGCCTTTGTCGTTTAATTCTTGTTCTCTAAAGTTGTCAACTACTATAAGAAGCATGGATCTCTCTGATGTAGGCTGTGACAAACTTGAACCTTGCTGGGTTAGATCGTGTCTATGTGTGTACAGCTGTGTCTTCAAATAAAGTGTTCTTTACTCATTGCGCACTGCGGCTTAAAAGGTCAGGCACCATAGTCCCGAGGATGGAATTGGTTGAAGTTGGCCCTTCCATGGATTTGGTAGTTCGACGACATCGTCTTCCCGATGAAAGTCTAAAGAAAGAATCTATGAGAACAGCTCCTGAACTAGCAAAGAAGAAGGTTTGACATTCTAAATTTTTCTTTTGCTGTCTGGTGTTGTCTAATGATCATATGTTCTCGTTGCTGATTCCTGTTTGTTTTTTTTCAGGAGAAAAATGTTAGCCGAGATGCAATACAGGGAAAAATTGGGAAAATTTATGTTCCAGATCAAAAGGTAAGAGGAAATGGGTATTTTTACATAAGAAAAAATGGATATTTTTTAATGGTGATTGCATCACCAGGTGAAGAATTACTATTCAAGTGGTGGTTTGTGCTCAACCCAAGTTCACGCCATTTGTGACTGCCTCCCCCCCCCCTTCTTTTCCAAAAAACCTAGAGCAAAATTTTCCTGCTGTTCGAGCATCTCTTGTGCTCTCTATTTTACGAGAGCATCTTTGAGAAAAAAATTAAAATAGAGTGATAGTTTTTTATACAACTCTAAAATAGAGCCCTATATTCTAGTGAAGAAATAGCCTTCAGAATAAATAACATTTAATGAGAAGGGAAATGTGTCCTTTCTTTTTAAAATCAAATTGGGCTCTCTATTTTAATTTGTATAAGTAGAGAGCCTAGATGAATTTTTGGTGGTTGACTCTTAAGATAGAGAGTTGAATGTGAATGGAGAGTTGAGTGGGAATGGAGAGTCTATTGAAGATACTCTTAGTCTTCTATTTTGACCTTTTTCCCCCTCTCTCATCTACATGTTTTAGCACATGCTGTCTGATGGTTTAGCTTCAACAATTTTGTATTGTATAGGTTGGAGATACGGCACTACCTAACAAAGCCAAAGGAGTGAAGAGGGAGCGTAGAGAAGCTAAAAATAAAAGTGAGTCCAACAAGCAGGAATCAAAGAAGCAGAAGCAGGATTCTGAATGATTCTGTTTCGCCCATGGGCAACTGTGACATTGTATCTTTTACTCACCCTTCTGTTGATCACTTTATTCGGTTTTTGTTCAAATGTGAAGGGTTTGGAGATTTGTGTAGGTTGGTTTGCATTTCATTATTATCTTATTTCATGCCTTGTGCAATCAATTTTGTTATGTACCTTTCCGGCCTAGTAATTGTCACAATCAATTTTGTCAGAATTTCAACGACACTTCAATTCAGTTCACAATAGTCTTGATGAATATAATCTTATGTCTGCTTAGTTCTCAAATGGAGAATATTTGATTTTGTTTTTCATATCCTGCAAATGTATGTGGTCATTAAGCAGTTTAATCCCGGGTGCACACCAGCCATGTCCAATTACTGTCTTGATTGTTGCCTATGCATTCTTGTGTAACATGTAGATCAGGCAGTCTTGATTCATTAGATTCTAGAGTTACGGGTGGTAATGACCTGAGCCCGGGTAGCTCAGTTCGGATTGGTATAGCTTGGTTTGGATTGGCTTGTTTTGACACGGGCTGAGTTTGAATAATTTTCTTTTTATTTTTGAAAAGAAGTTAAATTTGAACACTATTTTAAGCTCATTTTGAAAAATAAGTTTGTCAGATTTGGACTTGAACTCAAAGTTGTTTGTTTGACTCGTTTACAGCACCTAACTATTGTTATACTATTTTGTTCGTATCTTGCAAAAATACAAATAAATGCTAAGGTCAGTACTGTCGGTCTTTTCTGTTAACACACTACATAATAAGCACATAATTCCCATGTAGTTGTAGACTACACCAGTTTTATTACACATTCCNTCTCAAGTGTTGTTTCCTTGCATTGTTGATTCATATTCGACCTTGAAATGCAACTGTGACCTGACTCTCCCACATAGAGGAGAATAGATTGGCATTTCATTTTTTCCTCTACTTCTGATTTTAAAAGTGTGACATCTATTCCCCTTTGTTCCAATGGTCGGTGTTTGCAGTTTGGTTCTCACTCAAAGAAGCGGCCTGACAATCTTGTCATAGGGCGAACTTNAAATAAAAGTGAGTCCAACAAGCAGGAATCAAAGAAGCAGAAGCAGGATTCTGAATGATTCTGTTTCGCCCATGGGCAACTGTGACATTGTATCTTTTACTCACCCTTCTGTTGATCACTTTATTCNGAATAAAAGTGAGTCCAACAAGCAGGAATCAAAGAAGCAGAAGCAGGATTCTGAATGATTCTGTTTCGCCCATGGGCGACTGTGACATTGTACCTTTTACTCACCCTTCTGTTGATCACTTTATTCGGTTTTTGTTCAAATGTGAAGGGTTTGGAGATTTGTGTAGGTTGGTTTGCATTTCATTATTATCTTATTTCATGCCTTGTGCAATCAATTTTGTTATGTACCTTTCCGGCCTAGTAATTGTCACAATCAATTTTGTCAGAATTTCAACGACACTTCAATTCAGTTCACAATAGTCTTGATGAATATAATCTTATGTCTGCTTAGTTCTCAAATGGAGAATATTTGATTTTGTTTTTCATATCCTGCAAATGTATGTGGTCATTAAGCAGTTTAATCCCGGGTGCACACCAGCCATGTCCAATTACTGTCTTGATTGTTGCCTATGCATTCTTGTGTAACATGTAGATCAGGCAGTCTTGATTCATTAGATTCTAGAGTTACGGGTGGTAATGACCTGAGCCCGGGTAGCTCAGTTCGGATTGGTATAGCTTGGTTTGGATTGGCTTGTTTTGACACGGGCTGAGTTTGAATAATTTTCTTTTTATTTTTGAAAAGAAGTTAAATTTGAACACTATTTTAAGCTCATTTTGAAAAATAAGTTTGTCAGATTTGGACTTGAACTCAAAGTTGTTTGTTTGACTCGTTTACAGCACCTAACTATTGTTATACTATTTTGTTCGTATCTTGCAAAAATACAAATAAATGCTAAGGTCAGTACTGTCGGTCTTTTCTGTTAACACACTACATAATAAGCACATAATTCCCATGTAGTTGTAGACTACACCAGTTTTATTACACATTCCGTCCAAATCTAAGTGTAGCACACGCTCAATTTGCGAGTTAACAAGGGTCAAACACAAACTAAAATAAAATGCTTGTGCATTCTCTCAAAAAGATAAATTTAGTCTTCTTTTTTTTCTTTTTCCTTCTTCCTTTTATTTGATTCTCAACTCCTTTGTCTAATTCTTCTTCTTTTTCTAACGCCCGATAAATTTTCAAGTCTTTCCTTGAAGGATGACTTGAGCTTGAATTTGTAAATTAAACTTAAAACATCGCTTTTGCAAGCATCAATAAAGACCTTTAATGAATCACTAATTGCCTCCAAACAACATGGGTTGGTGATTTATATTTTCTAGTTTTATTTTATTTTTTTTAATTTGTATTTTCTTAGTTCAAGTATAAAAGATGTTTGAAAAATCTTTATTAGTGGTTCGTGTTTGGGCTAGGAAAACCCGACCCCGTCGGATTTGCTCCAACTTTTGAATGGTCGGCCCGCTCCATTAGCACCATTAATAATACGGGTTCACAAATGGTTTTCAGATTTCAAAAACATCATTTCAATTAAATGGCGCGTGGAAACANTACCTTTCCGGCCTAGTAATTGTCACAATCAATTTTGTCAGAATTTCAACGACACTTCAATTCAGTTCACAATAGTCTTGATGAATATAATCTTATGTCTGCTTAGTTCTCAAATGGAGAATATTTGATTTTGTTTTTCATATCCTGCAAATGTATGTGGTCATTAAGCAGTTTAATCCCGGGTGCACACCAGCCATGTCCAATTACTGTCTTGATTGTTGCCTATGCATTCTTGTGTAACATGTAGATCAGGCAGTCTTGATTCATTAGATTCTAGAGTTACGGGTGGTAATGACCTGAGCCCGGGTAGCTCAGTTCGGATTGGTATAGCTTGGTTTGGATTGGCTTGTTTTGACACGGGCTGAGTTTGAATAATTTTCTTTTTATTTTTGAAAAGAAGTTAAATTTGAACACTATTTTAAGCTCATTTTGAAAAATAAGTTCGTCAGATTTGGACTTGAACTCAAAGTTGTTTGTTTAACTCGTTTACAGCACCTAACTATAGTTATACTATTTTGCTCGTATCTTGCAAAAATACAAATAAATACTAAGGTCAGTACTGTCGGTCTTTTCTGTTAACACACTACATAATAAGCACATAATTNGTATTGTATAGGTTGGAGATACGGCACTACCTAACAAAGCCAAAGGAGTGAAGAGGGAGCGTAGAGAAGCTAAAAATAAAAGTGAGTCCAACAAGCAGGAATCAAAGAAGCAGAAGCAGGATTCTGAATGATTCTGTTTCGCCCATGGGCAACTGTGACATTGTATCTTTTACTCACCCTTCTGTTGATCACTTTATTCGGTTTTTGTTCAAATGTGAAGGGTTTGGAGATTTGTGTAGGTTGGTTTGCATTTCATTATTATCTTATTTCATGCCTTGTGCAATCAATTTTGTTATGTACCTTTCCGGCCTAGTAATTGTCACAATCAATTTTGTCAGAATTTCAACGACACTTCAATTCAGTTCACAATAGTCTTGATGAATATAATCTTATGTCTGCTTAGTTCTCAAATGGAGAATATTTGATTTTGTTTTTCATATCCTGCAAATGTATGTGGTCATTAAGCAGTTTAATCCCGGGTGCACACCAGCCATGTCCAATTACTGTCTTGATTGTTGCCTATGCATTCTTGTGTAACATGTAGATCAGGCAGTCTTGATTCATTAGATTCTAGAGTTACGGGTGGTAATGACCTGAGCCCGGGTAGCTCAGTTCGGATTGGTATAGCTTGGTTTGGATTGGCTTGTTTTGACACGGGCTGAGTTTGAATAATTTTCTTTTTATTTTTGAAAAGAAGTTAAATTTGAACACTATTTTAAGCTCATTTTGAAAAATAAGTTCGTCAGATTTGGACTTGAACTCAAAGTTGTTTGTTTAACTCGTTTACAGCACCTAACTATAGTTATACTATTTTGCTCGTATCTTGCAAAAATACAAATAAATACTAAGGTCAGTACTGTCGGTCTTTTCTGTTAACACACTACATAATAAGCACATAATTCCCATGTAGTTGTAGACTACACCAGTTTTATTACACATTCCGTCCAAATCTAAGTGTAGCACACGCTCAATTTGCGAGTTAACAAGGGTCAAACACAAACTAAAATAAAATGCTTGTGCATTCTCTCAAAAAGATAAATTTAGTCTTCTTTTTTTTCTTTTTCCTTCTTCCTTTTATTTGATTCTCAACTCCTTTGTCTAATTCTTCTTCTTTTTCTAACGCCCGATAAATTTTCAAGTCTTTCCTTGAAGGATGACTTGAGCTTGAATTTATAAATTAAACTTAAAACATCGCTTTTGCAAGCATCAATAAAGACCTTTAATGAATCACTAATTGTCTCCAAACAACATGGGTTGGTGATTTATATTTTCTAGTTTTATTTTATTTTTTTTAATTTGTATTTTCTTAGTTCAATTATAAAAGATGTTTGAAAAATCTTTATTAGTGGTTCGTGTTTGGGCTAGGAAAACCCGACCCCGTCGGATTTGCTCCAACTTTTGAATGGTCGGCCCGCTCCATTAGCACCATTAATAATACGGGTTCACAAATGGTTTTCAGATTTCAAAAACATCATTTCAATTAAATGGCGCGTGGAAACGCAGCCACCTAGCGCGCGTCATTTCAAACCCGAGCAACCCAAAAACCAAAAAAGGGAGGGAACTCCAAAAGCCGCAAGGCGGCAAAACTTACCAAACACACAGGCGCACATACACAAGCCTTCGACATGTTCACTCCAAATCACCATCACTCTCTCTCTCTCTCGATCGAGCTGGCGCTATGATACAGTCTCATGAATTCCGATTAGAAAGGTTCGCTTACATATACGTACATGTTAATGTTTGTGCACATGTATATATGATTGTTTGAAGTTGTCTTGATTGCGTTTTTTGGTTTTATTGATTGTTTGAATTAGCCTTGTTGATCTCTGTTGTGTTTTCGGATGTTAATTGTTTTAGGTTGAAATTTTCATTTACATACGGTAATTACTCATGAATTGATAGAGTGATATATATGTCTCTGTTGTCGTCACGTTTGTGATTGATTGATGTTTGTGATTATTGCTTATTTCTGTTTACGATCTATCTGATTGTGTGATTGATGCTGTTTAATTGAGAGATGAGTCGGATGATTGATGTTTAGCTAATTTTTTTCATCTGTTTGTGAAAGAAGCACATACAATACACAGAGCTTCATACTAAACTAAACTAAACGACGTTGATTAGTTTCCCCTTGATCCATATTCAATTAGTTGTATCATTCCTAGGTTCCCTCTTTTTAGTTTAATTTTCTAATTGTTGCTAGCTATTATCTTAACTCGTGCGTTTCAGTCATGCTCTATTTGGGGGCGGAGCCAGAAATTTGTTTGGAGAATTTTAGCAACAAAATCGTAACATGCACTTAATTCAGAGATCTAGTTTAGAGATTTAATGCATTGCTACCATTCAATTAGCAAAGAATCTAGATATAGGGAGAGAGAACCACGAGACTCAGAATAATTCCTTAAATACGAGGAGTTGAAGTAACTAAACATTATTTAAATGAATGAGTTTTTTTGTATGGGCAAATTTATACTATACAAAAATCTATATGAAAAATTTTGTTCCAAAATGTAATTGAGTGGGGGCGAGGCTTGAGTGGCTCCGCCCCTGGCTTTATTCATGAATATGTTGTTCAATAATTGCTCAACTTTACGTTTTGCAGAAAATAACTGGTTTAGTAGTTGATATTAAGAAGCGTCTTTTTCACTGAGATATGTATACAAGTACTAATCACATATACTGCAGAGAGGGCATCACCTTTGCTTTTGTTTTTGATTCGTTCATGCTTGTTTAAATTACAAAATAAATTGAATATGGTCAGATTTTTAAATCTTTTTATAATGAGCTGCATACAAGGAATGCGACTTGGCTCAATAGGTTGGTTGTAAATAAATTTAATCTTATTCTTAAATAATTTCTATTCAATGACTACTTCAAACTTATCTCGAAATCTAGATCATATAATTTATCTGTTCCTTCGGTTTTTGGAAAAAATTAAATTTTAATGTTCAATCTTATAATTGATTGTACAATTTTTGAAATTTTTTTCAAATAATTATTTTAAGATTGATTATTAAGTTATAATGTTTGATTTTTGAAAACTTTGGTTGAGAAATTGAGTTTTGGTCTTGACTCGAGTTTAGCTCGACAGAAGCTAAAGCCAAGCTTGAGCAAAAATTTATACTCGAAGGTCAAGCTCAGCCATTCACAAACAAACCAAAGTTGAGCACTAAAGTTTGACAAACTCGACTCAATTACACCTCCAATTACAAAAGCAGTTGCAGTTCTCCTTGTTTCTGAAGGAGAATTAGTTTTGAGGAGCTTATTGTAGAAAATTTGCGGAACAGAATTTGATAAATTTGATGAATGGAGAGCTTGCCTTTGAGAATTAAAATTTTCTTTGATATGAAAGCAATAGAGTTAGGATTTTTCTTCAATGAGTTTTCTCTCAAATTAGGTATTTTTTGGTGTGTTCTTTTTGAATGCAAAAAAAATTATTTATAGGGGAGGATATATCAGCTAGCCGTTCAACTATCCATTACCATTCAGCATAATATTCTCAACTCTCCCAAATCTTTTTCAACTCTACTAATATTTCCTCAATCTTTTGCAGTCAAAGAAGGTTAATTATACTCCAAGTAAGATTGACTAGTCTTTTACTACTTGATGGGTCCCTTTAGTCAAGTCACGCATACTAATTATAAAAGATTCAACCTAAACATTCAATTATATAAATACAATATATATGTATGCATGTATCATTATAAAATAATATTTAATATATATTAATTTGACAAAAAATGCATCTATGATATATGTCATGAATAATGCAATATTTAACTAACGGATTGAAGTTTTATATATTTTAAATTTGACCAACAATCGTGACTTAGTTAATATCAAAGGATTTTAACTACATATTCCAACACTTATGTCTTGCTCATAGCAGATGGATTCAAACTTGCTTTCTAGTTTGGGTTATAGTTGTACCATCCCACTTTGTCTTTTGACTAATTATCTTTTTTGGAAAATGTTGCATATTGTGTTGCTGAACGGGTTGTGTTTGCAACCTATACCAGTATTTGACAAAGGAAGGCTTATGGCATTGATGATTTGCCGTAATTTAATGGTAGGTGGGTGTGAAATTTCAATTGGATATTTCTTATCAAAGCTGTCTGGTTTTTGTTTAGGTCAAGCTATGTTCCCCAGCTTAATGTGGGCAACTCATCTTTGCCGCCATTAGTTTCCTTGTGGATTGAAAGAGGTACATCCTATTGGATTGCTTTTCCCATCATATTCAACTAAAGTATGGTTAGTTATGAGCCTTGTGATTGAGTTTGATGCTTTAAGTTGATATGAGAACTGTTGAACCAAAATAGTTTTTAAGCGTAAAAATTAAATTTTTGGTCAATTTTAAGCCTAAATTAAAGTGGAACTCGTTTGTTATTTGGAGTAAATTTTGGTGGTTTCATATTCTATTTCATGAGGAGAATAACGTAGTCTGTTCACTTGCTCAAATCGAGTAAGAAATGAATGAGAAAATAGGTTTCAAAGTGACCATCTTGAAATGTAAAAATAGAGGTTGTGCAATATAAAATTAGACACCAATCTCACATTAGTTGAAGAAAAAATTCAACATGGACATATATAGGCCAAGTTTGTTCTATAAGATTGGGTCCTAAGGGGTACCACAATTTTATGAGTAGAGTGAGCGCTTACATGCCATTGGTTTAACCACATGTGCGCCGCCCGCTCGCCACGACCTGGCTCGGGTGTGGGTGTGGTTTAGACCAAACCCTTTTTTTAGAAGATTCGTTTAATTAATTGGGCGTGAATTTTTTAACACGAAATTTAATTTTCGGTACCCGTTGGATTACACTGGTTCGAATTTGTTGCTTCTCTCCGGTCCGAATTGAATTGAGTTGAGTTTGTTCATAGAGAATAGTAACAACAAATGGTGTCTCTTGATTTTCATTTGTTTTATGGGTTGTGTCTTTTACTATGGTAGCTGTCCGAAAAGTCACCAAAATGTCTATATATACCCAGGTTCTCATTACCATTCGATTCATTCATTCATCAGTCCATTTTCGGCATTAAGGCAAACATTATTGCATTGCATTTTGGCATTAAGACAATGTGTATTTTGGAGAGTACATAACACAATTTATGGTTCGCTAAACGAGTAGGTTGGAGTGTTACTTCTACTCGTGAAAAGATCATTGTATCCTGTGAGACAGACGCTTGATATTCCATAAGCACCGTGTGTGAGGCCAAAATTTGTCTTAAGGACATAATGTCAAATACTAACCTCGATCTACATAAAGTTCAATACAGTTCCTGTTCTGCAACCAGATTAGTATTTAAATTGCTTAAACAAACAGTTACGTATAACTGTTTCGCACTTGATTGTTACTATTTTGTTATACATTACGTGGTTTAAATCAAAAATTTTAATAAGTGACTTTATAATATCTGAAATACCACAACCAACAGGAACTTGAGGCTCTTGAGCGAGATTCTATATTTTATAGTTAATTCCCCTAGAGTGAGTGCTCTTTGATATATTCTGATACTATCTTTTGAGTCATTAGTTTACCTTTCCATGAATGAGTAGCAGTCACGCGTGTAGGGAGAGTTAATGTTTGTACCTGTAGATCTCGCTAATAAATTCAGTTGTTTGCACTACTAGCTCCCACTTTTTCTACGAAAATCTCTGGCCTCAGACTTCGTGCGTTTGCAGTAAAGAGTACCTACTACCAACGACCACATTGTCCAGCCAAAAATGAGTAACAGAAGCAGCAGCCTAACTTGTTAACATTTTGGCGTTATTTCGCAATTTATCAACTGAGCATGATATAAATAATTATCAACATTTTCTACAGAGACTACATTCCGATTCAGTTTGGGATGTTACAAGTTAGCCAACTCCTCTTTTCTATCTTTTCTATGAACTAAGCCACTCTAGTCTAATACCATGTCACTGGAGGTTGGCCTGCTGCTGCTCTGGATGCAGTTCTGCAGTCGTTAGCTGGTGTGAGTGAATAAATGCCTATTTTTCGTCTGTCTTTTCTTTTGTCTTGTTTAACTTGCTTGCTGGAAAGTGCAATCTAGCGATGAGTGGACGCGGAGCTCGTGTCTTCAAGTCAAATCCCCTCACGCAAACAAACCCTGAAATAATAATTAGTTAGATCTGAACCAGAATGGAAGAAGCTTTGCTACAAGAAAACTCTGTATTTATTTGCTCCAGCCATACGTCGGGTTATGCTTTCTCTGATTTCCAAAGGTTGCTGATCCAATTGAAGAAAAAAAGGGATTGAATATAGTTGTCGATACTGGATATTGCAAGAATCATTTATATATACTTGGCTGCTTAACCAGTTAAATCTCAGTCCATTAGAGTGCTATGAGATGTGGTTTGGATACAAAAGTAACATTTGACACTTTTTGTATGAAGTGGCTACTCTCGTAATCAAACTAATAGGCTGACGGTTAGTAGCCTGAGACTTGTACCACTGCACCTTGACCCCTACGTAAATCTATATTTACTTTCTTGTGTTTTGTTGTAGGAACTTTTGTCGGTAGACGTTTTCATCCTTGGAGGAAAGAAAAATATTTTTTCTCCTTTGTGTTTGGTACGATGAATGGAAAGTTGAAAAAATTAAATTTTATTTAATTTACCATTATACTCTTACATATAAAAATAATTTTTTATTATAAATAAATTTTTCTAGATTCAGTGTCGCTCTAATTAGTTATAAAAATAAATAAACAAATAAATATAGATATATATACAAAAAATAATAGCCAAGAAATATACATAGGAAAAATATATGTAATATGATATTTAGAAGTGTTTCGTCAGAAATGTGCAAGTTTTGATTTGAAATTATGGCATAATGTTTAGAAGTATATTTAAGGGCAAAAAAGTAGCTTGTCTTCAATTTTCCTCCCACTTTTGGGAGGAAAAAAATGGTGGGTGGGCAACACTTTCCCTCCAATTTTTTTTTTCCCCTCCTATTTTCCTTTCTAACCAAAGGATGAAAAGTCTTTCCTTCCCCCATTTTCCATTCACCCAACTTTCCATCAAACCAAACACACTATTAGAGACCATAGTTAAAGACTGATTTATGTGTGCAGGTATATTGTTAAAACAAGATATGATTGGGATTGTATACTGAAGTCAATCTCGGGAGAAATATAATTGCCAAGTTCCTTAATAAAAAGGGATATCACCCTTGTGTGTTTAGGAAAATTGTCTTTCTTTGTGTTTGAAGCAGACTTGAACAAATGATAAGAAAACTCTTTCAAAGCGTTGAACAAGTGTAGGACATGAGAGGTGATGCATTAACTGGCATAACATGGAATTCTATAGAGACATTTTTTTCAGTCATGTCTGCAAGTTAGATGCTCGGATACATAATTTTTTCTACATATGATCTGGAATGTGTTCTGAAAAATTGGAAGATGCCAAAGCCAGACTTCTCATAAGTTTCAAAGGACATGGAGTTTTGAAATATTTTCAACTATTCATGCAGAAAAACCTTAAAATCAGTGTTGCCTCTTGCTTAAAGGGGTTGGATTTCGTTCGAGTGTCTAAGAACAGCTGTTCATTGTTAAAGTAGGCATTGTCAATCACAAATTTAAGGGCAGTGGGTTGAGAAATTTGCACCAGCTTTGGTCATCCTCAATTAAAAAATTTTCTGAAGCTTAAACTGAGTTTTTGTCTTTTTGTAAGTGGGATGGCACAATGTTGTTCAGGAATCGTCTAGCTGGCTTGAGTTGAGGGTACCTTATCAAGTCCTTATTTGGTTTTGTGAGGTTCCTAGTTTTCTCAGACCAACTAAGCTATTTTAGAATAAGTAAGCTAATTTGCATTGCATGTGCCCTGCACCACCTCCACCAAAAAAAGAAAAGAAAAGAAAAGAAAAGAAAAAACCTGAAATGATGTTGTGCACAGCATTGTGTATATGTATGGCTGTGTGTGTGTGTGTTACATACATCTTTTGTTATCGGTGTTAGAAAATTAATGTAAGCAGCTGGAATGACAAAAAACAGGGGGTTGACATCCATACATACCTCTCCAGAAGCAGTATTGAATTCCTTCTGTTGATAGACCTGATATGAAAACATAATAGGTGTATTGTCATTTTTTGAATTTTTATGATGAATAAAGATTCACATATTTACCTTTAAATATCGTTGGGATGGAGGTTCCAAAATACACTGTTCGTCTTGGCAGATTCCATATCCAAGCTCTAGGAACATCAATCGGGTGAAGGCTAGATTCATGATCGGCAAACACCTGCACATGATTAGCTTTTCAATTTTGTTGTACTGCCTAATTCCAGAGAAGTGACTTCGTAATGTTGAATAAATAGTGTGGTGAAGCTAAAATATAGACAGTAGATATTTATGTTACATGTAAATCACTCATGCATACAGGTGTATGCAACACAAGACACAACATAAACTCCTAGTACAAGACTAGAACTCATCCCACGCACAACACTTCATCTCTGAGAAACAATACCCACTAACGGATTGTTACACTGAGCACCAACTAGAAGATCTCACACCACTGACCACACACCTTCACTGTGCAGTCTCTCAGTTGCACACTTCATTTTATGCACAAAAGAGAATACCAAGTTAAAACTAGTGTCCGTGGGTTCCTCAACAACTTAGGAAGACATGGGAAGCTTTTTTAACACACCATTACTTAAAAGCCACATTTTCAATAGGAAATTTCCAGAGAGGGGAGAGAGAGGGANGTTCGAGTGTCTAAGAACAGCTGTTCATTGTTAAAGTAGGCATTGTCAATCACAAATTTAAGGGCAGTGGGTTGAGAAATTTGCACCAGCTTTGGTCATCCTCAATTAAAAAATTTTCTGAAGCTTAAACTGAGTTTTTGTCTTTTTGTAAGTGGGATGGCACAATGTTGTTCAGGAATCGTCTAGCTGGCTTGAGTTGAGGGTACCTTATCAAGTCCTTATTTGGTTTTGTGAGGTTCCTAGTTTTCTCAGACCAACTAAGCTATTTTAGAATAAGTAAGCTAATTTGCATTGCATGTGCCCTGCACCACCTCCACCAAAAAAAGAAAAGAAAAGAAAAAACCTGAAATGATGTTGTGCACAGCATTGTGTATATGTATGGCTGTGTGTGTGTGTGTTACATACATCTTTTGTTATCGGTGTTAGAAAATTAATGTAAGCAGCTGGAATGACAAAAAACAGGGGGTTGACATCCATACATACCTCTCCAGAAGCAGTATTGAATTCCTTCTGTTGATAGACCTGATATGAAAACATAATAGGTGTATTGTCATTTTTTGAATTTTTATGATGAATAAAGATTCACATATTTACCTTTAAATATCGTTGGGATGGAGGTTCCAAAATACACTGTTCGTCTTGGCAGATTCCATATCCAAGCTCTAGGAACATCAATCGGGTGAAGGCTAGATTCATGATCGGCAAACACCTGCACATGATTAGCTTTTCAATTTTGTTGTACTGCCTAATTCCAGAGAAGTGACTTCGTAATGTTGAATAAATAGTGTGGTGAAGCTAAAATATAGACAGTAGATATTTATGTTACATGTAAATCACTCATGCATACAGGTGTATGCAACACAAGACACAACATAAACTCCTAGTACAAGACTAGAACTCATCCCACGCACAACACTTCATCTCTGAGAAACAATACCCACTAACGGATTGTTACACTGAGCACCAACTAGAAGATCTCACACCACTGACCACACACCTTCACTGTGCAGTCTCTCAGTTGCACACTTCATTTTATGCACAAAAGAGAATACCAAGTTAAAACTAGTGTCCGTGGGTTCCTCAACAACTTAGGAAGACATGGGAAGCTTTTTTAACACACCATTACTTAAAAGCCACATTTTCAATAGGAAATTTCCAGAGAGGGGAGAGAGAGGGACTTAGAGGGGAGATAAGAGAAGGATCTAGAAGGAGAAGACAGTTGTGGTTGACTGTCAACACATAATGCGTAAAGAATTCTAGTGATTTGAGAGTTGGGCTAACTATTACCTCATTAACTTGAAAGTATGTACCATTAAGTGGAAAGCTCCCTCTCATTGCTGTTCGACATGGTATCTGTTCATGGTGGTTGTACAAGATAAAGTCAGATATATGTATTTTTCATTTCCCGTCAGACTTGTATAGCCATTATGGTAATGCGTATATGGATATCCTCACCAAGAGTGTCCCTCGAACAGTTTGCAAGTTCGTTTCTCGTATATTGTTGCATGAAAAACATGTTTTCTCATCACATAATTTGCCTGATTCTTGGAAGCTGCACCATGTTTCTGGTGGCTGAACTGAATTTGCAGTTTCACCTGATATGGAGCGTTTGTTAGAATCAATTGCCAAACGCAGCTAAAATAAATCTGTCAGCTAATTTTGCCATTGCCTGTCTTTTTACTGATGTATTCTCTTTGTATATTAATATGAAATAGGTTTGATGACATGTCCATTTACCTGGTGTCCATATGGCAAGCAGGTATGAGCACGGATCATCTGGTTCCCGTTTGTCCAACTGCAGTTGAAGAGATAGTTATTTAGATAAAGAACTTTGGGCACGTAATGGATAATTATATTCCTTAAACAGCAGATGTGGTGTACTAACCCCTTCCAATAGTGGATGTGAATCTGGAAGCTCATAGCTGCAATATTGGGTAACAGTCAGTATGTGCTATTATTCAATGGACTATCATGTTAGGGTAGCTAGTTTTGTTTGACATCAAGTATTTATGGCATATACCCATATGTTTTCCCTCCGCTTCATGAGTTCAGTTCTAAAAAAGTGAGAGGAGGCTTTCATTTGGGCCAATGAAATCATAATCCGTGCAGCGTCCCTCTTAGAATGATTAACCAGATATAGAAGATGTGAGAAATGTCCACTTACACTTGGTGCTCTGTTCTTAGCCGGCTGACATTTTTAAGTTTAGGCATAGGAATTGAAGCAGCTTCTGGAGTTAAAGCTACCAAGGCTTTTGACATAACTCCCTCTTGCAGTTCCATTTTATTTCGCATGTAAGTCTGCAAATTTTGAGTGAACTCCTCAAAGTTAAGTTTGATGGTAGGAATTTCATTAGGATCTTCACAGAAGTTATCCTCAATGTCACTTCCCAGTATTTGTGTCTGTTCTTGCTCTGGCGTTGCAGGTACTTCAACAATAGGCTCTGGCGAGGCTGGTACTTCAACAATGGGATTGCAGTTGCTGGCTTCAGACTGCGCTTCTGATTGTTGATTAGCCTGAGGCAGAAGGAGCTGTATTGGATTGATAATCCCCATGGGATTTCCATCAGCTGCTCTGCTATCAGTTGCAGTCAGTATGCTTTTCTCCTCCGGTGCTGGCAGGGACAGCCGTGCACTGAATCCAGCATGTTCATCAGTGATCCAATATATCATAATATGGTTAACATGTCTATGGAGAGAGTGGGACTATTTTGTAGATCTCTGGACTTGGCATTTTTGCTGTCTTCAACCAACATGGGTTTATATAGCTAGGAAACCTTTTAGTGACCCTATATTTGCAAGTTATTAAGTAAATATGCTAGTTTAGGGTCAATATGATCTGGTGTTGGTAAAAATATTTGATATAAGTTGTTGTTTCTGGCATATTGTGTGTTCTGCAATATCTCTACATGTCTGCATTTAAATTGGATGGCATAATTGTTCATATGTGGTTGTTCCTAATCTCCTGTACATTTTAAGTTGATCATCTATGTGGAAGGCCAGTTGTGAAATATAGTTTTGATCATTCTAAAATTAAAAGTTCTAATTGGTTTGCCAGGTGGTTTAGTTGCAAGAAAACTTGGACAAATTAAGGGAAAACCTTGCAAATGCACTGGCAAAGTGCCTGCATTCTCCTCTCATTGGACATGCATTGCAATTTGGTTTGCTCTTTGTGCAGAAAACCTGGAAAATTATAACTTTTAGCTTTTGTTTGTAAGTAATAATTAGTTAAGAGAAATCACCTAGTATTCTTAGCACATACGGCATACCTTTCCAAAAGTAATCATCTGGTAATGCAGCTCGTATCTGTAATTGAATAGCATCATAAATCAGTAGAGTTTTTATTTTCCAATATATGCATTTATCTCTTGATGCAAAGGGGAATTTTGGTTTACAATGTTCTTTGGTCGAGCTTGCAGAGTCGTGGCCAAAGATACTTTTGAATTGACTCCAATACAGGGTACCTGTGTAAAGACTACTTCATTATGGTTTCTATCTTCATAGTACCAAGTTTGGATGAGTAAATCCACCAAGACTTAATCCTTACAGTTCTAGGAGATGCAGTTGGAGAGACTCAGGCAGTGGCTGAAGAGGTACCCATCCTAGTCTTACAGCTATGCGCCCAACATTCGTGTCAACCTTATTGGAGATAAGAAAATATAAATGATCCAGTCTAAGAGTTATTCTTCAGTAGTATGTGAGGCTCAGAACTTACTGGGAAGGCAAGATGGTGAAGAGTCAAAAGCCGCACACACTCTACACTCTTCAAACCCAAGCCTCTTATGCTCAATAGATACTCTCTGAAACCATAAAATACCAGTAATTCTTTCAAATCATTCCACTATGAAAAACCAAAAGTAGATTGCTTAGCCCCTGTAACATTGTTTATTGGATCCAGTTTGTAAATATAGTTTTGGAACATTTAATAAGTTATGCCGAAGATAGAGAAATCATTTCAAGATTGTTGTGGGCTTACTTTGCTTTGTCAGGTGGAACATCCCTTAGCCATTCCAGATCAATGCTTCCATGTTCTCTGACGAGCCGGTCAAGGAAATCCTGCATTAGTTTCTTGTTTTATCATTAAGCTGATCTCAAGAATGTTCCTGTCGGTATTATATTGTGTATTATATGTAAAGTTCAGGTTGTCAAATGTGAACTTCTTTGTTGTAACATATAATGTGTACCTTGATTCTCTCTGCAAGCACATTGTTCATTCCCCTTTCTTTGATGGTCTGGGCAATCTCGCTAACATCTGCACACCTTATTGCTTCCCAGTCCAATGAGTCCAATGTATTGGCTGTTCGTTCTCTTTTCTTATCATTGGCTTGCACTTGTCTTCTTAAGCTATCCCAGTCAACTGCAGTTTGTGTATGTTTTGTAGGTCTTCCCCTTTTTGCATTAGAAGAATCAGTATTCATGCAATCAACTGTCCTACCAAGACGACAACTATTTGACTCGGCTGCTTTGTGCACCATTTTTCTTGAACCATCATCAATGATGCTGGTGCTTTCACTGACATCCAAGGTCTCTCCTGAGAAGTTTGGAGCATCTAGAACTTGTTGCATTTTACGGTTATTCTCTTGATGCTGTGATCCAACATTGTCGTTTGGACCTTCAACTGTCTTTTGAGACTGGAAGAATTTATTCACCTCAATCTGAAGGTTGCTGCTTGGGCGATCAATTTCACTGAAGGATTTAGGTGCTTTTTGAGAACACACAGTCCTGATCCTCTGAACTGTAGCTTGAATGGAAAATTCTTCTGAGAATCCACTTTGTTGGCTGGTACAATTTTCTTCTCTTTTCTTCATTATACCAGAAAATCTGGTTTCATCTCCCAGCATGGAGAAGCATTCAACCCTCTGTGCTCCTGGATCGGGGATATGGTGCAAACTATTAGCACTTGAAGGTATGGTCAGCCTTGAGGTGGTTTTGCCACTGTCTGATCTGTCATTGTTCTGCCCTTGTGGGTCACTTGCCATACCTTCTGATTGGTTGTTCCCATACTTGAACAGTATGTTTCCACTTGCCTGATTGTAAACTTCTTGTGGCAAGGTTCCTGCCATCTGTAATAGTTTTACAAAAGAAGTGGAGCTCCCAAAACTGCTGGGTATAGATCCAGCTGTTAGTTCTCCTTCTGAACTGCTCTGTAAACATGATCCTATTCTTTCATCAGTTTGAGCAATTGAAGAGTCCAGAGATTTTGGAGAGGAAGCAACATAATTCTGAGAAGAAAATAAATCATCCATTTCTCTTTGACCTCCAGTACAAATTGCCACTGTTCTTGAAATCTGAGTGCCTGATTTATATGCTGCAGAATTGGGGTTCATATCTGGACTATTTTTAGAAGAATCTAAAAATTGGATCTCTGAAGTATCAGCTGACGTAATGCCAATGGTGCTGCTTCTAGAGGATGCATTGCTGTCTTTTTCTCCATTATTTTTCACAGTCTGGAGCATCGTAGAACCCTGATCACTGACTGTCTGATTGGACTGCTGCTCGTACAATTGAATGGTATCATCAGGATCTATTACACATACTCCCGGTTCTTCTGTCAGTAGATCTGTTCTCTCTTCCTGAGGTGATCCATGGTTCCTCTTTGACAAAAGGGGAAATCGTGCAGCAAGAGACATGTAGGCAGAACTGCAGAAGTGAATAAATAGATTTAAGAGTTTCTCTGGTCAAATTTATCTGGTTGAATTTTGGATAATTTGACGTGGTAAAAATCAACTCACCTAGAAAGATGGTCTGAGACATTCTGAGTGAGGAAAACTCCGACTACAGAGTCTACAACTGATCCCTTCCACTGAGAGAAGCGTCTATCTCCTGTGGAAAATTAGATTATTTCGCTATTTTCTACCATTTTTTGGCAGTAATGATAATTGAACATCCTATTGTTCTTATATTTCAGATGCCATTACTCTATACAATTTTTGGCAAAAATGATAATGGAAGATACAAATTATTTTATATTCAGGTGCAGGAAACATGCAAGTTGAAAAAGATTTAAAAGTGGTCCACATTCTCTCCTTCTGGGAACATTTCAGTTCAAGATACGGTAAGATTTTGCAAGAAAGGATACATTTAGAAAAAGGAAATGAGATATTTATTTGTTTAAATGAGGGATTAATATGCAAGAGTGTGACCATTTAATTTCTTTTTCCCTTACAGTTTCAGATTCAGGTTGAAGTCTATGCTGCCTCGGGTTGCATTAAGGTTTCCTGCTAAATCCTTTACAGTTTTTGTTATCTTGGCAATAGGCTAGCTGCTTAGATTCTTGATTTGCTTAAATCAGGGGCTGAGGACAATCATGTTTTAAATGCTTTTGTTTTCCTTTGTCATAATTTTTCTATCTCTAAATATTTTCATTAGCATTTAGCACTAGAAAAAATGTCTGAAAAGAATGAAGCAGGCCATAACTTGTTTTGTGTTCTCTACATGAAGTTTTTGTACTTGTTTCTAGTTTCCTTCCTTCACGATCATACACGTGGAGCGCATTACACTACCTAGGAAGGGGGAGAGGGGGTTTGAATAGGTTTTTCAATTTTAGCACTATTAATTACCAATTAAAACTTAATCTACCACAATTCCAATCCAGGTACAGCGTAAGATGAGACAAGAAGATTGAGTAACATCGTCTGATTGCTTAAACACTGTAAGCTCTAATCAGAGTACTAATAATGACAACATAGCTATTAATCTTCTCTGCTTCCTGAAGAAAGATCTCATCTAGTGGTACTTAAACAATTAAGAACTCTACTAACTGGAACATTTGAAAACTATGCATAGTTACCTTGGACGAGATGCATGCGCGCGATAAATGAGTCTGCCCTTCCATGGAACACTCTTCGTTCTTCTTCCCACCATTTTTCCTTCTCCTCATTCGTTCCATCAATGCCCTTGCTGTTTATATCTTCCAACAAAAGCTTCCATACTCTATTTGTCTCATCATCGAGGTCAACTTTAGCCCTTGGTCGTCGTTTTTTGACTAGATCAAATGAGCCCTCAAAAGGCCCAACTGTTCCATCTCTTTGATAGAGAACAAGTGCATTTTGCCCCTGGTACCTCATACCATTAGGAAAAAGTGCATTTTCCTCTTGACAAGTTACTTGGTTGCTCTCTGCATTAATATTGAGATGCCTAAACAGCTCAGCAATTACATCCAGAGAATATAGGGCTTCCCAAATCATAACTCGAGGACCTGCATTAAATGTAATCAAGTTCGAAAGGGAATCAGTTTAAAAATGGGTGGTTTCCTGATAATTAACTAGCATAATTTTTTTCTGGAAATTTACCCATTGACATAGTCACAATTTGGCCATCAGTATACATATTAGGAGGCACTGAACTGGCACTTAAATTTCTCTTTGTCCGTTTCTTTGCTGTTGTTGCATGGTTTTCTGCAACTACGGCTTCCATGCATGGGTGGGGTTGGTTTAAATATCCAACTCCTGGGGTAGGAGAACTTGGCAACTGCTCACAAATTTCTTGCACCCGATTAGAGCCTTTAGATATCTTCTTTCTCAACCTCTTTGTGTGGCCCAAAGCTAGCATGAATTCGAAAGTGTGCTGTTTACCCTGACCACTACTTGCTGTCGCAGTCGGGGCACCACTTTCATCGAACTGAGGATCTGAAATTGTGCAATCAATATGAGATGTATAAGGATTTGCACAGCTATCATTTGGAGGGCATATTGGTGATTGTTGCACAAGATTTGCTGTAGCAGTCACAGTTGATGATCTGCTGGATGTGGCTGAATCTTGTGCTTTCTCAGTTCTCTTTTCCTTGTAAATTGATGGAAAGGACATTCTGGCATTGCTATATTCCCTTACTGGGAGCAGCGCTACGTATGGCTGCAAAGAATTGTACGCTTCATCAGTTGTACATGAATGCTCTCTTTTTAATCCCCTTGTTTGTTTTCCATTCATCAAACATGTGCTGCTGCTGCAGTAGGAATCATTTGGGCTTCTTGGTGCTGATTGAGCATTGAAACTTGTAACTATTTCTACAGTACTTGCCTCTTTATCATGGGTTTCATCAGAGAATACTATTCTACATTTTCCTCTTGAACATTCACTTTGAGTGTTAACCATAAATTCATTTGGTGGTAGATCAGCCTTGGCAGGAGTCGAAGGGATTGAAGCTTGTCTTCCAGGCATTGATAGGTAACTGTCAATTACTTCCTCCATGGAGCATGGGAGGTTATGAGCAATGTCCATTTGTGTCTTTTCTACGGTTACTTCCACCCGCTGTGTGAGTTGCTCAAGTGATCTTGATTGATCCCTGCTACAGAAGTTTTGTGCATGTGACTCTGAGTTAACATTGGAAGATGGCCTGCATGAGGAGCTTTCATCTTGCACTTGGCATTCAACATCATAATTCAAGGCCCTCCGGCAGGATTTTCTTTTGCAACCAACCGTCTTTGTGCTGGTAGTTCCACTGGTTACCTCTGCTGAGCCAGTGGCTGTGGAGTTTTTTCGAACGTACTTCCTTTTTGACTTTTTTGGAGTTTCTGCAGTGCCAGCAGGCTTTGTAGTCCTTCGTTTGTAAGTCCTTTTAGGCTGGCCTTCTTTAACCACTTTGGGCCTGTGTTTTATTTTTCTTGGTTTCTGTTGTGGTGTTTTGCACACGTCAGCCTCGTCCCCTCCCTTGTCAGGGTTGTGATTATCCTGCAACTGTGTGGAAACAGCGGCACATAACTGATCGTCAAGCAGCTGTGATTGTTCTTTCTCCTGGTGGAGCTCATCCACTTCAACCCTTTTGCTGGAAACTTCATTTGCCAGCTTCTTGTGCATCTGACTTGTTCTTTTGTCTATAATTGAACTTGGTATATCAGATGCATGTCTTTCGACCCTCTTGGCCTGGTCTGGTGTTATGGGTGCAAACTGGGAGGAGATGTTTCTGCTCATAACTGCATCTGCCGCTGTCCTAGGTGGCGAATTAAGATGGCAGGATGGTTGGGAAGGAACAGAGCCCCCATCTGTAAGTACATTTCATTACAACCACATCCTCTTGTGGAAAAATGATTTTTGACAGAATTTCAAGCAAATTGGTTCTATTTCCCAATGATTGAAGAACAAAATTTTAGAGAAATTTGTGATGTGCGGGAAATTAGGTAATATGATTAGTGTGAGGGATGTGCTAAATTTTGGAGTATTGAGCAAGTGACTGTTTTTGTGACCTTTTCTACGGTTTTGCTATTCAAGTGTTTGCTCTATTCATGCACTAATTGAATGTAAAATTGCAGTTGCAAGCAAGTAGGTTCTACATCTTAAAGGTGAACGTGGACAGCACATTGGACATGAAGCTGATTTGTGCATGCCTGCAATTATAATATGCAGAATCTACACCTACAGATCAGCATCTAAGTTTATCATCATGGTAAGTGCCCTTTTGTCATAAATTATTTTTGTTTGAGTCACATTTCAAACAAGGTATAAGGCAAAAGACAAGATAGCTAAATGACACTCACGGTACTTTATGTTTGCGCCATCACTGTAAAGAGGAAAGTTTGATCCACCTGAAAGACTTTCATTTCCGAGAATTGGATTTGCTGTGCCTGCCTTGAACTGGTTATCTTCAATCTGAGAATTGAAATTAGAAATCAGTGAACTACTTGTTGTATTAACCTTGATCCCTGCAGTTGCTTTGCCATCTGCGAGGGCCAATAGATCTCCAAAACGCAAATCATTATATTGGTCCACAGAGTTCATGAAAAACTTATTGCATATGTTCACATTATCTCCATAAATTCGGGTTTTTGCGTCCAAAGCTGCCTCCCTGTAGTCTAAACCCCCGTTAAATTCTATGAAATTTGTCGAATCACAACATGCAGCTACTTCACGAGTTTCAGTTTCTGGCGAAAACCCATTTGAAAATCTCTCTAATCGTCTCCAACCTGCTTGTCCTTGCTGATTCTCTAGTGAAAATCTCTGTTTTTCCAACCAATTTGGCTGATTTTCATGCCTGTCTGTGCAGATCGGCTGCGGTTCTTCTGTACTGGGCTTCTTCACTGGAGTTGCTGGAATCCAAGACCCCTCAATCTGGAAATGTCTTATTTGTGGAATTGAACTCTCTCTACCAACATCCATTCTGCCCCAACTATAGCTGGTAAAAATCCTTTCCTCTTTTTTTTTTTGTCCTTTCTCTACTCTTTCTAGGCAAAAACCCAATTCAAGTTCTTCAGTAGTTCCCAATATTCTTAACAAAGGGAAAATTTAGGCAAATGTTGCTGATTTTTCAACTCTTTTTCTTCAACAGTACTGGTGGACAGAAAACAAGAAAAGAGAAAAAAAAAAGTTTATTAGTGAGGAGCTGAAAACAATTACAGGGACAGAACAAAGAACAAAATTGGAGCTAAAAAAAGAAAAGATCAACTAGATTTTTTTGGGGTTTTCAAATCTTTGAAAATCATGCTAAAAAGCTCTTCTAACTTACAGATCTCTACAACATTCATCATACGTTGTTGCTCCGGTGAGAAAAAAGAAAAAGATAGTTAAGTGCTGATTTAAACACAAGAATCAAACAATTGTTATAGCTAAAAAATTCTACTAATTTAAACAATAATGAAAATTAAGTCTCGTTAATATAAAGATTCCAGCACCCAAACAGAAAAAAAAAAAAAAAAAGTCTTGAGAGAATCTGTTTTATCTCCTACAATAATGCCACTTTATTCTCTTCTGTTTGTGTGTGAGGTTATAAGGTTAGAAAATGGAAAGAAGCTGAGATAAGCTTGGTGAAAGAGTTACCGGAAAGTTGAGTCATTGCCGGCGATCTGATTCACTGAACGACAAGATAGTAGCAGAGTTGTTTTCCCATAGAGAGAGAAAGTAGTAAAAGAAACCAAACAGAACGACCATGTTTTTATTCGTAGAGTGAATGAGTGCTTTAAACTAATAGCTCCTTTTCCCAGTTAACCACGCAAGGAATTTTTATTATGATTTAATGTCTGAATTATACATGAATAATGTTGTCTTAATTCAAAAATATAATTTTTTTTTAAAAACACTCTTCTAATCCTTTCCGACTTGTACAATGTATAATCTTTTCATGTTATGGTTATTGTGTCGTATAATTTTTGAAATAAATTTCTTGACACAATCTCAAACAAGTTGACAAAGTTTGATCACGTGACTTGTTTAAATTTAACACGTCTTATTTTTTTAATCACTTATGATTCTCTCTCTAACAAATTTAATCGTCTTCTTGTTCTCATATCTCTCTATGCATGTGACTAGTGATGTGTAAAATTCTCTAATATGAGTAAATATTAACTATATCATATCAATAATATAATTTGATATAAATACGTAAAGTGGACCCGATACAGTTAATCTAGTATAATGGTTAAAGTAGTATAACAGTTATGCATAATATTTTTTTTTTCCCGGTAAACTTAGTTGTGCAGTGTGAAGACAGAATCGGGGCATTACTGTACTTTTGGAGTCAAACGACAAACCCGGCGTGTGAAGCGTCTAAAAGGCCAAACACGTGACTGACATAGAACCAAGAAGGGTACAGTTTTCTCAAATTTGTCACGTGAGTGGGTGTGTGAATAGTCTAATGTAGGTCTTTGGAATATTGACGCCGTGCATTAATCTTATGTAATAAAACCCAAATATTTGTCTTAATCATAAAACACAGTAATGGTCCAATTTAAATTTGACAATTTATATTATGATTTGTTTTAATTTTTTAATGCCAACTATGCCTGTCTCTTTTGTTGGCATTATTCAAATGACTTCCAAATCTTACTCTGCCGTCAGTAACGCCGTTAGTGGGACCTTTTTTAGTGTTACGATAATGCACGCTTTTCTAATTAGCGGTTGGAGTTGGTAATTGATTTCCTACGTACGGTGCCTTGATTTATGAATCTAATAATGAGACGGTGGGGCATGGTCATGTACACCCTTCATTTTCCAAAGCATAGAAAGCAGCCAGGCATAAGTTCATTTCGTCCATTTTAAAATTGCCTTTTTTATTTACTGAGACAACCAGTAGTGCAAAATAAATTGGAAAAATAAAATTAGACATTTTTATTCGATTTTAATGTTATACGTGATTTTTTATTCTTAATCTATATTTATATTCTGAATTTTTTAAAAATATTAATCTATAAAATTTCTTAACTTAAATTATTGACCTTAGTTTGTGACACGTGGTATAAAAAAGGTGGAATTTGGTGGACTTATTTTTTATTGGAAGTTTTAAATTTGGGGGGACCCATGTCATAGGTTGTTCCATAGCATGCGACCCTACGGGTGGTTTTTGAATTTATTGGTTTGAATGATACGAGGGGATAGAATATAATATTTTATTTATATAAAGAAAGTTCTATTGTGTCCACAAGAACATGGTTGGAGCAATATGGACCCACATGATCGTCACCGAAACAGACGATCATTGGTACATGTTCAAACCTTTATGAGAGTGGGTGAATCCGGTCTGGTAATAATAAATTAGGCGGATAAATTAAATATAAACAAGACAAAAATTATTCACAAAAATGAACAGTACAAATACTATTCACAACATAAGCAACAATTAACCAATTGGACATAATCTTTCTAGTCATCCTGATACTCCTAATTAGGAGTTGTTAAAGGTACAAATTGCTTCTTTTTTAATGGATTCCGTTGTTATTAATTTTATTTTTCTGTTTTTTATTATGTTTTGCTGCTTTCTTTTGAATATGTATTTTGTTTTAATTTTATAGTAGTGATGGTATAATTTATTGTGTTAGGGTATCTCTCTTAAAGTACATATATAATTTTTTTTACTGTGATTAAAATAATTGTTATATATTGAAGGGATGAAAAATAGGGGATGAGAGGATTTGAGTATTAGGTAGTAAAATCAGTATAAATGTAGGTGTTAATGATCATAATATAAGCAAAACAGGACAAGGTGTGAGTGGTTATCAAGTTAAATAGTTAGGTTANAGTAGTTCCCAATATTCTTAACAAAGGGAAAATTTAGGCAAATGTTGCTGATTTTTCAACTCTTTTTCTTCAACAGTACTGGTGGACAGAAAACAAGAAAAGAGAAAAAAAAAAGTTTATTAGTGAGGAGCTGAAAACAATTACAGGGACAGAACAAAGAACAAAATTGGAGCTAAAAAAAGAAAAGATCAACTAGATTTTTTTGGGGTTTTCAAATCTTTGAAAATCATGCTAAAAAGCTCTTCTAACTTACAGATCTCTACAACATTCATCATACGTTGTTGCTCCGGTGAGAAAAAAGAAAAAGATAGTTAAGTGCTGATTTAAACACAAGAATCAAACAATTGTTATAGCTAAAAAATTCTACTAATTTAAACAATAATGAAAATTAAGTCTCGTTAATATAAAGATTCCAGCACCCAAACAGAAAAAAAAAAAAAAAAAGTCTTGAGAGAATCTGTTTTATCTCCTACAAAAATGCCACTTTATTCTCTTCTGTTTGTGTGTGAGGTTATAAGGTTAGAAAATGGAAAGAAGCTGAGATAAGCTTGGTGAAAGAGTTACCGGAAAGTTGAGTCATTGCCGGCGATCTGATTCACTGAACGACAAGATAGTAGCAGAGTTGTTTTCCCATAGAGAGAGAAAGTAGTAAAAGAAACCAAACAGAACGACCATGTTTTTATTCGTAGAGTGAATGAGTGCTTTAAACTAATAGCTCCTTTTCCCAGTTAACCACGCAAGGAATTTTTATTATGATTTAATGTCTGAATTATACATGAATAATGTTGTCTTAATTCAAAAATATAATTTTTTTTTAAAAACACTCTTCTAATCCTTTCCGACTTGTACAATGTATAATCTTTTCATGTTATGGTTATTGTGTCGTATAATTTTTGAAATAAATTTCTTGACACAATCTCAAACAAGTTGACAAAGTTTGATCACGTGACTTGTTTAAATTTAACACGTCTTATTTTTTTAATCACTTATGATTCTCTCTCTAACAAATTTAATCGTCTTCTTATTCTCATATCTCTCTATGCATGTGACTAGTGATGTGTAAAATTCTCTAATATGAGTAAATATTAACTATATCATATCAATAATATAATTTGATATAAATACGTAAAGTGGACCCGATACAGTTAATCTAGTATAATGGTTAAAGTAGTATAACAGTTATGCATAATATTTTTTTTTTCCCGGTAAACTTAGTTGTGCAGTGTGAAGACAGAATCGGGGCATTACTGTACTTTTGGAGTCAAACGACAAACCCGGCGTGTGAAGCGTCTAAAAGGCCAAACACGTGACTGACATAGAACCAAGAAGGGTACAGTTTTCTCAAATTTGTCACGTGAGTGGGTGTGTGAATAGTCTAATGTAGGTCTTTGGAATATTGACGCCGTGCATTAATCTTATGTAATAAAACCCAAATATTTGTCTTAATCATAAAACACAGTAATGGTCCAATTTAAATTTGACAATTTATATTATGATTTGTTTTAATTTTTTAATGCCAACTATGCCTGTCTCTTTTGTTGGCATTATTCAAATGACTTCCAAATCTTACTCTGCCGTCAGTAACGCCGTTAGTGGGACCTTTTTTAGTGTTACGATAATGCACGCTTTTCTAATTAGCGGTTGGAGTTGGTAATTGATTTCCTACGTACGGTGCCTTGATTTATGAATCTAATAATGAGACGGTGGGGCATGGTCATGTACACCCTTCATTTTCCAAAGCATAGAAAGCAGCCAGGCATAAGTTCATTTCGTCCATTTTAAAATTGCCTTTTTTATTTACTGAGACAACCAGTAGTGCAAAATAAATTGGAAAAATAAAATTAGACATTTTTATTCGATTTTAATGTTATACGTGATTTTTTATTCTTAATCTATATTTATATTCTGAATTTTTTAAAAATATTAATCTATAAAATTTCTTAACTTAAATTATTGACCTTAGTTTGTGACACGTGGTATAAAAAAGGTGGAATTTGGTGGACTTATTTTTTATTGGAAGTTTTAAATTTGGGGGGACCCATGTCATAGGTTGTTCCATAGCATGCGACCCTACGGGTGGTTTTTGAATTTATTGGTTTGAATGATACGAGGGGATAGAATATAATATTTTATTTATATAAAGAAAGTTCTATTGTGTCCACAAGAACATGGTTGGAGCAATATGGACCCACATGATCGT